GATGGTAAAAGTGATCTTAAAGGGTATAAATAACTGAAGTGATCATCTCCCTATTGTAAAAGAGGCAGGTCTGGGATCTAGTTCTCCACTCTGTAAGTTCATGATTTCCTGCACTTGTTTATATGCCATCTACTTTCAGAAAGAATTTTAGGCAACTTATTAGGTCCATGTATAAAAGAAATGTTAAAGAACAAAAAGCTGCATAATGGAAAGAGGTAACCGTATTAAGGATTTATGTTGAGGATAATTTATTGCAATTGTACCCTAAATTTATCACAACTTCCTAGCAGTCAAAGAAAAATGAGAAAACAGTATGATTTATTCTCATTGTCTAGTAAGAGGGAACCATGGAACATATAAATTTTCCACAAAAGTAGACTTTTCTCCAAGTCTTAAGTTCTGAAGAATTTGATGTATGGATGGATAGTTGTTTTGTGTCCCTTCTATAATATTTTCTATAATAAAGTTGTAGAACAAATCAACATTGCTTAAAAACATGTTGCAGTTAGATAAAAACCGAGAGCCTAATTATCTTTTAGAAATAGTTCCATTGTATAGTCACACCATAATCTAGCTTAATATAGGGAGAGTGCTTTGAAAATGCAAAAATATCACATCCCCTAGCTTTAGTCCAGTTTTCAGTAGCCTCACCCAGGCTTGTGAAATTAACACGCACATTATATTTCAGGCTTGAGCTCCAGCGAGGTCTATAGCAGAGGCATTCTCTGTGATGACAGTCATAGGCTGTGACTAGCTAGACAGCTGTCGATAGACCAGCAAAACATTTCCTTCATTCACTTGTTCATTCGTTTTCTCATTAATTCATTCGAGATGTTACATTCTTACGATATGGCAGGCATGGTTTTAAGTTCTGAGCTATGAGGACGAACAGAATAGACAAAGCGCCTGCGCTGTCGTTTCTACCAATAAATCTAAGAATCAGACCGTTACAAACAATCTATGTCAGGTTGAAGACTGAATAAAGCAAGGATGAGAGTGACTGGGGTAGGGAATGGTGCTGTTTTATAGGATGGTTAAGGGACATCTGAGCAGGTAGTAAAGGACATGCACATATCTAGGAGGAGAGTGTTGTGTACACAGGAAACATCAGGAGCAAAAACCCTGAGGCAAGGCATAGAAATGAAAGAGCCTGAGATATTGTCATAATAGATCACACCCTACTGACATTTAAAACATAGGAGCCAACCTGAGCTCTTCCTTCCCCTCTCATCTAATTCATCCTTAAGTCCTATTGGCTCTGTCTCTGGCATATGTATCTGCCCCTTACTCCATTCAAGCCTTTGCTATTTTTAGCTTGGTCTCTGGTGATAGCCTCCTAACTGGCCTCCCTCCTATCACTTTGCCATTAACTAAACTATTTTCCACATTTAGAACTGAAAATCAGCCCATGACTGACCCTCTTCTTGAAACCCTGACTAATGCTCTTGCAATAAATTTCAAACCTCTCCTTCCCATGTGCACAAGCCTGATGACCTGACTCCTGCCCACCTCTCGGGCCAATTCTCGCTTGCTCTCCTTGTTCACTCTCACAACACTCCAGCCACTCAGCCTCCTCCTGGTTCTGGGCCACCAGCTGTTGTTTCTCCTGACCCTAAGCCTCTGCTCTTCTGACAGGCTTGTTCTTTCCCCAGCTTTCCACTGGAAAGGCTCATTTTCTCCTTTAGGGGCTCCCGCTCAAGTATCAGCTTCCTGACCATTCTGTCTAAAGTAAGCCACCCCGCCCTCCTCAGTTACTGTCATAGACCCAGTTTATTTTCTTCACAGCAATAGTAAACTATTGTTACTGTAAACTATTGTTACTATAAACTATAGTTTATAGTAACAATAGTTTACTGAGACTTTAAGCTCCATGAGGATAGGGTGGTTGCCTGATTCACTGCCTCATCCTCAGTTCTAGCATGGTAATTAGGGCAAGGGATGAATAAATACCAGAGGAAATATTCATGAATAAATGGATGAGGCTGAGTCCCTGATACATGCAGGGTTTTAGGTTTTAACTTTACCTGTGTTACATAACTACAGCCTCACCATTGCTCTGACCCTTGTTTAACAAATGAGGTGACTGAGTCCCAGAGAAATTGAATCCTTTGTTCAAGGTCAGATAAGTTAGTAGGATAAACTTGTTTTTCTATCTCTATGGCCTGCTGTTTACTGCACAGGAAATGTTCTCGAGGCAGGTTTGAATCAAATTCTCTGACGAGATGCAGCATTTCCCAAGGCAGATAGAAGAGAGAATTTTGGGTCAGGAAAAATGTAAAGGCAAGGGTTAACAGCTGGCTTTGTTACAGCTCTTACAGGTCAGTTTTTAGTGGTACCATCATGACAGGCTCCTTCAGGATTAAGTAATTTGACCAACTGGCAAAATTACTGATGTGGCCTGACTGTCGAAGAGCACCCAGAGCGATTTTTAATTGAATATAAATCTTGAGTTCTGAGAGTATGAAAGAGTAGTTTGAGCTACAACTTAAGGCAAGACAGCGAAGTAGAATAAGTGTGTTCTAGGTTGCTATAGCGGGCGTGCCTCCAGCTCATTGCACTGAGAAGTTTAAAACAACCTTGCATTATTTAAAATTGGAATTTGATCTTCCAAAAACCCATTCTTACCCTATTATTTCCAAACTCATAACATGAATTCTGACATGGATTTTTAAGGAATTAACTCTCTGGAATCTATGCTGCATTAATACTACATCTTGGCCTAGACTTGCTTCCTGTCTACAAAATCAAAAGTTGATGGATTAATGCTGTGAAAATTTATGGGCAAAGGTTAAGAACCCTTTAAGGTGAAACAGAATAGCACAATGATCAATGCTATGGCAAAGCTAGCCTATCCCTCATGCGAGCTTAAAGGGGCTAAGATACCCAGCCAAAACAACAACAAAAATATTTTCAAGGAGATAGCCAAGAGTCTCTTATCTCTCTAAAACCATGGGGAATTTTGTGTGGATTTTATCTGGAGGGAACAACACATGAATTGTGGTTTAGGATAACAAAAGCTTGGCAAAGTTTGGCGTATTACCACTGTAACTTGCTAAGAACCCCATTCCCCACAGTGTTTCTATCACAACACACAGGCCAGGCCCACAGAGAAAGACTGTGCTTATGTGGTTGAAACTGTTTTGCTTGGCAAAGACGATGCTCTGCACATTCTGCTCTTAGATGTCATGTTGAAAAAAGTTTAAGTTTGCATCTGTGTATATAACAGACATTAGACACACTCAATTAAACCTTAATTATAAAATGGTAAACAGTGAAGTCTTTTAGAATCTGGCAACTGTGAATGAATACAAAAACTACAAAGAGAAAACAAAACTTGACATCATGAGGCATGAGCTCATTTCACGTAGCTTAAGTTTGTGTACATAATCGTATCCAGACACCTGGCGCTGCCTTCTATATAGAATTTTGATAAATACTGGAATTTTGGCTTCAGTTTTAACTAGCCTGAACTTCTATTTGTGTAACATAATAAAGCAAAATTTTAAAAACCCAATTTTTCCTCACAAGGTAAAAGGATTCTTCAGCTCTTTGAAAGAAAATGGTTCTCAGCTCCGTTGTGTCCAACAAACAATTGAAACCATTGAGGAAAACATACGTTGGATGGATAAGAATTTTGATAAAATCAGACTGTGGCTCCAAAACCAAGAACCTGAACTGCTGTAACAATTCGTTCCTTGCCGGTTCCTGTGATCTCTAATTGCCAAAATTTTGTCAGATGTGAATATTTTCAAACTAGAGATGACTTTTGGCTTCTGCTGAAGATACTTCCCGCTTCAACGCCTTACCCATCTGATTAGTCCTATCATGAGTTTCATTTACAGGTGTTGCCCCACAGTGTAAACCCAAGGTGGCATCCCCACTGTGGAGGAATACAGTACCTTATTCTCATTTTATATTTTATACTTAAACCCCACACTCCAGACCG